GAAAGAGATTCGAAGATAAGACCAACAGCACGAAGAGAGTATGGTCTGGTGAAATCAGTAGCCATAATAGAAACGTAAGATTCAATGGCGTGAGTAAGAGCATCAATACCAGTCCAGGAAGTTAAACGCTTTGGCATACCAACAGCGAATTCTGGGTCAACAATAGCCATATCTGGAGTAAGTTCGTAATCGACTAATGGGTACTTACGACCTTCTTCAGAGGTAACGACAGCGAATGGAGTAACTTCGGCACCAGTACCAGAGGTAGTTGGAATACAGACAAGAGTCTTAATAAGCTTACCGAGCTTTGGACAACCAACAACACGCTTACGGATATCAACGAAACGAGTAGCAATATCTTGTAAGTCTTGGTCTGGGTATTCGTAGAATAAACGCATCATCTTAGCAGCATCCATAGCAGAACCACCACCAAGAGCAATAGCTAAATCTGGCTTGAAGATGTTCATTTCACTGACACCTTCCATAATACACTTAATAGTTGGATCTGGAACAACCTTATCGTAGACAGCACAGACAATACCGTGTTGTTCACAAGCCTTAATAATCTTGTCAGTTTGACCTAACATAGTCATAGTTCTATCGGTAATAATGATAGCACGCTTGTGAGTATCACGTAAGTCAGATAAGGCTTCAGAAAGAATAGCACGCTTGAAGTAAACAGACTTTGGAATCTTGAACCAAAGCATGTTTTCACGTCTCATACCAACACGCTTAATGTTAAGTAAGTGCTTTGGACCAATGTTATCAGAAGAGGAACCACCACCCATGGTACCACAGGTAATAGTAAGAGCTGGAGCTAAACGGAAGTTGTACATATCACCAATACAACCAAGAGAAGATGGCATATCAACTAAAATGTGGAAGGCTGGAACTTCATTTTGGTACTTGGCAATTCTGTCCTTGTTGTTTTGGTTAGTGTAGAGAACAGCAGTGTGACCCTTACCACCGAAGGTAACTAATTCCTTACAGAGTCTAACACCATCGTCGAAGTCCTTAGCACGGTAAATACCAAGAATGGTAGTTAACTTTTCGTGAGCCATTGGTTCTTCGAATTTAAC